GGCAGCAAATCACTAGTGTGGGAGGCTAGCTTTTCTTACTGCAGAAATTCAAGCACAGCAAATAGGTACCTGAGCCTGTTTTAACAGAGGCTTATTTGCTCTAGGCTGCCTCTGTACTTAATGATAAACAGGTGTTAAAAGCCTTCTTAAGAAGTGAATCACCCTCTCGAAGCAGCTGTTTCTTTCAGTTGACTATGTCGCTCTGTCCCCCAGGGACACTAGGGATCCAAGATAATTTAGAGGCTCATTTAAGTACTGAAAGTTAGATGGGAGAAATTCAGGTTCAAGAACCTGTTCTTTGGCTGTGCCTGAACTTCTCCGTTAAAAATTGGTGTCCACACTGCCAACCTCAGCGCTGGAAACTATGAGAAGCAATTTGCAAGAAAGACCCAAACTATTATGTTATATTTTGTAAAGGTTATTCATGAGAGATCAGAGTTAGAGGTTGTGACTGCCAAGTCTTTAATCATAAAATAGATGACTTAACAAATATGAGGGACGAAAGCTTCTACGGTAGACAAACATGTCTGACTGAGTCAGACTGCTAACAAAAAGTTTTTATTATTCATCTGTATCAAAGTGTTCCATGATGTGTTACAATTCAGTACAAACCTGTTCAAGGGTTAGTAACCCTTACACATTTCCCAAAAGAAAAATAAATAGTGCACATGAGAAATTCCCCATCAGTTGCTGAGATGTTGGAGACTTTAAAAGCGCCTCATGAGTTTTAGTCTTTGCTTTGCTCTGCTGAGTCTTTTCCAGTGCTGTCTTTTGACCAGCTAACTTTTCTGCAGTCCATTTGATTTTGGATCAGGGAGAATCAGAAACCGTCTCTTGTTGCATGCTTGACAAGCTCTTCCCACATTAATGCCATGCCATGCTTCCTGGTATCATCTACGTTTTGCTATCTAGCATGCTTTGCAAGAGGTTTTCACCTGTCCTGTGGCTCAGCACATGTGAACCAGCAGGATATTAATAGGCAGAGCTAGGAGGGTCGTTGTAACGCTCAAACCAATTCAGATTATCCTGTCAGCAACTCTGTAGGTTCAGTCTGTACAAGTACCTGCATTTAGCATATTCACTCCCCTCTATTTAAAGTCTAGGCCCAGGGAAAATGAGAAAGCCCTGCGAGGTCATTGCACTTCTTCCCTAGCACATAGCTTGGAGCTAGGTCTCCATCTCCCTTGAGGAAGCCTACAGGCCTGGGCTAGTACGCATCAGCACCCAAGAGTAGGGCCTACATTAAACTTTTTTTCTGCATATATGTATGAATGAGGGTGGATGGTGATGCTGAGGCCATTGGACATATCTGAGATTAGATTAGCTTTTTATTTTTGTCAGGTATAAAATTCATTTGAAAATCAGTTAGAAACAACTACCATATGAAGGCTTGGCACAGATTGGCCTTACTGCCAGCTCACCACATTTTCAGTCTAAATGCTATAAGCTACTATGAAGGCACTTTGTCCAGAGAACTCTGGTTTTTTGGATAACTTACAATATCCTCAAAACTGTTAGATGGCAGGGATTTTACTTTGTTTCTTTTCATTACTCTGGTTGGGAAGTTTGCTGATGTGTTCATTGTGGCATTGTTCTGGTCTCTTGACAAAATCTCTGATCACAAATTCTATTTTTATTCTATTATATAAAACATATTTTTTATGCTTAAGTAACTATCCTGTTACTACCTTGCACCTGTTTCCCTGTTACTATCCTAAACTACCTTGTTCATTTTGTTTTTCTTTTCCAGCTTTGTGTCTCTGAATTCCAATGTAATTTGCTATCAAATTATTGATTGTTAAAATGTGGGTATTTGGCTCAGCCGTCCCAAATATGTTGTTCAAGGAACACTCTAGAAAAAATATGTCCCTTATAATACGCTATTTTATTTTAAAATGTGGTGAGACTATCCTCTTTTGTATAGAAGTGCGATGACAAGAAATTTTGACCAGGAAGTCGATAACATGAGCTTCATGGTCTCTTCAAATTGATGGGTTTGAAAATCACTTCTCCCCAGTCAGAGGGGGCTCTGAGCTTAGGTGGCTAAACTTTTATTTTATCAGACCATTCTTGAATCAAAGCCCGTAATATTTTTACACTGTTTCATTTGACTCATCTACACATACTTTGCTTGTTTATAGTAGTCAGTTAATCAAAAATATTCTTCCAAATGAAAAAGGAGCCTTGGGCCTGGCATTCCCCTTCTGAAGTGCCTTTTCAGCCACTGGCTGTTTGTAGTATTCAATTTGCTTAAAGGTTGTGCTCAGCATGACCTTCTCAAGTTGTAAACGAACAAGAGCGGAGTTAGCTTCTCAGCGATTTAGATTAACCAATACAAAACGAGTTATATGACCTACACTGCTTAGTACATTGGATAGCAACGTTAGCTAGCGCCTCTACACACTGGCAACACTGACTTATTCACCAAAGATGTGAAATGAGTCAATAACCGAAGGTCAGTGTTTACAGTTACATATCAAAGTTTAAAAATGTATTTGTAATCAACATAGAGTATACGAAAAGACCTGCTTAAGATCATGTTGCAATAAAAGGAAATATCCTATTCAATTCTATCAGAATAGAACGTTCTGATATTTTCTTGTCTTCCACACCACATATATATCTACATTTTTCAGTGGAGAGTAGAAGATCATAATTACCAGACTTTTGGATGTTCTCATGTAAAGAAGAACAAATTCCAGAGACTCTAAAGATTAATGTGAGATGAACTTTGAGATCTGGATGAGGACTACTACGTGACATTGTGTGTTTCCAGCTTATCGCTTGTCTTGCAAGATGCTCTCTGTTAAAATGATGGTATGGTTAGTATAAATGTGCCACATTATAATCACTAAAACCTTTAACTGAGTAAGACTTCAGGATTCAGTTCCACAGCATGGAATTTGCTATTCCTTTGAGAATTAACTTTATGATGAGGATAATTTAATTCTTTGGTTGCATGTAATGAAAAATTCTGAAATACATACTGAATACATTCTCTGTAGTGAAAACTACTGAAAAACAGAATGTTTTATTAATGAATTATACAACTAAAGCAGAAGGATATTAATTCCTAAAAGCAATTTCTTTGCAGTTTACCTCACTATTTTCTTGATGCTCCTTTCTATATTGCAGATACAAGAAAGTAACAATACAAAGGCAAGGTACGTACACTTGACTTTGCTTCATGTAGCCCGTAGTCACATCATATTTCAGAGGTAGTGTTGAATCTGCCTCTATCAAAGATTTTTAAAGGTTAATTTGACCCCTTAATTTTCTTTCTGTACTGAATGTGATATAGCTGCATGATAAGGGAGGAAAAAAATTTGCAGCTCATGAGAAACATGAGTGGCTCTGCAGATGACAGAGTGCATATGAAGGTCCTAGAGGTGCAACTCTTCTATATATGTACATACAAACCTATATATGCTCTCCTATATATACCCATACCCTTGCATGTACAGTACACTTGCGTATATAGGAGAGTATTTATCCTATATATAACTCTCCTATATTATAAGTATAGGTATAACTCTCCCTTTTTGGGAGGTACACCTTATTACCCAGTAGTAATGCATCATTCCTCACTCACTGGCTTCTTGGAGATGCCACACAACTGTAGAGGAAAAGTAAACAAGCACTTTCCCAAGGCACAGTGGCTGCATTAATTCTTTGCCTACATGCGGGGTGTGTGAATATTGGGGTGAGCTTCGTACGCACACCACTACCAGTTTGACTCTGTAACAGTAAAGTAGACTCTGCTGTTTTACTTGAATGTTGCATATATGCATCACACAAAGGTGCATGCTTAGTCAGTTTGGGTATTTTGATACTTCTGTGTATAAGTTACATACAATAAAGAATTTAATATCTCTGTTGTAACTGCAAGTGGACTTTGACATACAATTTTGTGACACTGAATCTACACAAAGTAGAGGCATGTGAAAAGGGGGCTAAGGACCACTCAGGACCACAGTCAGGCATTTAAGAGCTATCTGAAAACATCCTTGAAGTCTGTAAGAGTCTGTGTGTTCAGACTGTCTAAGTGATGGTTGACTACGTCACAGCATTTGCTGAGAGTGCTGTGTGTCATTATCAAACAAGTCAGCGCGTGTGACTGAGAGGTTTCCTAAGCTGCAAGGTTATAAGATTAAGAAAGGAAAATTCTGGATAAAGGATAATTGTTGAAATTCATTCAAACCAACAAGAGGAAGCTGAAACTTCATCAGTTTTAATTAATGTTAGTAAATAATGATAAAAAAGATACCATTGAAACAAATTCTGTTTCACCTGATAAACAGGTAATGTCAGAAAAAAGTCATTTTTGTTTCTAATGTCTTTAAAGTAAACATTCTGAGGTTATTTATCTGACAGGGTGCTTGAATGCTTGAAACCTAAGTTAACCTTTTACATTAACTCAATCATACTGTGTTGCACTGTTCTGACCCTGCATTTCTGTGATACTTCTTAGTATATAAGGAGTAGATACCTACTAAGGTTACACAGTTTTAGGTATACAGGAAATGCAAAACAGAAAAGTTTCAATCCCTATATGGAGAAGGAAAGGTAGAGCACTGGCAGATTTCAGGATTCTCCGTACTTTTAGATATGCCTCGTCTTCCATGCTATCTCCTCGCAGGCACTGAGAGCGTTTTTCAGCCACACAGGGGAATGTATTTTGGAGCATTTCCAGAAGCTCAGCTCTGAGTCAAAGAGAGAAGTCTCCATTTACAAAGAACCATTCACAGCTGTCAGAAGTTAGCAGTCTGTGGGACTCAGAGTACAGCTGCAGTTTTTCCAGAATACTGACAACTTCTGTGGCAACCAGAGACTGTTCACTAGTACTGAGATTTCTGAAGGTTCATCAGGGAAAAAAAAAAAAAAAGTCTGTGTAATTTCCATTTCTATATTTTTATTTTTCTTTCATTGTTTTGTATTCTGGTAACATCCTGCATTTATTTCTAAAGTTAGACAATAATAAGATAACAAATTTTGAAATAAAATGCTTGTTATCTTAATTTTTTTTTTAAGTTTCCAGAATGAACAGAAAACAGTTAACTCAGCTTTCTGATTTCTCTGAGACACAAAAAATTGGGTTTGTAGCATTTATGAAGAGAAAACAGCAGCAATATTTAAATTAAGTGGGATTGATGGCAGTGCATCTTCCCAGTTTTGCTACAGAAGTATAGTCGTCTCTTTTTACTTCAGTAAGGATACTACCTACACCACCATTTCTGTTGCAGCCGCTCTAAATGTTCTCCATATTTTTTCGTATTGAATATGCAAAAAAACCCCAGAATTTGATGTAATGCAGTATAAAGATTTCATTTTCATTTATGGACTTCATCTGCAGATGCACTTCTCAGAAATACTGCAATAACCTAAACTACAATGTTTGTGTTATGCTACATTATTTGTATTATTTTTGTAATCCCTCTCCTTCACTGTCCCCTTGAAAAGTTTGCATAATTATTGTATGAAGATGATAAACATTTGGAACAGGAACCATACTTTCTTATTTCTTACGAGAAGTGCACAGTACATATTTGAATAAAATAAAGCTGTATATAATAATCATTAGCATTTTTGAGCTATATCCCAGAATGTCATTTTGAAGGATATGTCAAATATGAAAGGATAGAAAAAAACCTACACTGGAGGTAGAGGAATCCCGTCATACTTTCAACATTAGTCAAAAATTCAAATCAGGATAATTTTTATGAGCTGTATTTTAAGTTTAAAAGAGTTTGAAAAATTGCTTTTGACTTTTTTTCCTTTTTTACTTTTTTTCCATATGAATAAATCTCATATTTTTCATGTAATTTTATTTATGAAAAATCTTAGGTGTTAATGCAGGATTTATAACAGAGGGGGCTTGCAAACTTAGCCAAAGAACCTTGGCCCAACTCTGTTTTCTCTCTCTTTTTTTTTTTTTTTGGGGGGGAGGTGGAAAAAGCCAAAAGTGCGTGCCAGTTCATACAAGGAACCACTGTGAAGAAGAAGGAAGGGAGGAAGGAGGGGGGGACGTTTAAATAATCACAACTTCTCTTTGTCTTTTTATTCCTCATCCTGATCCACCTTACTTGTGTCTTCCTTATTGCTTCTGCTTTTCTTACCTCTTGAGGCTGACCGTGCAGTGCAGAAACGTGAAAGGTCCCTGAGGAGCTGCAACGAAAATCCCTCTGCAAATATGGCTGGGAGATTCAGGCTGTCAAGCTGCTCTTGGGTGACACGGTAACTAACTGCTGCTCACTGGGAGCTGTTTTAGATGCCCAGTTTCTCTGATTACGTTGATCTTATCTTTAAAATCTGCTCAGTTTTTATACTAGCTTCTGGAAATAAATTAATTGGCTATGTTCAGATAAAACTAAAAGACCTTTAAATGCATGTTCTCAGTAGCTCTGATGTTCTCAAAAACCATTTTTCAAGGTGCTTTTTTTTTTTCCTACAGTAATAGGCAGATGCCAGAGGCCAGTGATTTTGGATGTGGCTATCACAGATACAGAAATTTTTTTGTGAATGAGTTTGCGTCTTATCTTCCACATGATTTTCCGAGGAAGACACTCTCTTGAAGTTGAATATGTTGCCATGTTTTGAGTAATGCAGCCTTGCCATATTAAATTGTGCATCAGGATGCCACTCAGCAAAATTGCTTTCCCTCTGTGCTGTCATTACTTGTTAGTTTTACCCAGTCAGGGTATTTTTGTGATTCTACTGTGACTTTTCTTCTCTCTTATTTTTCAAAAGCAGATCCAAGTCACAGGATTTTAATCATTCGCCTTATCAAATCACTTCAAATTCTGTAATTCACTCATGCGCACATACTCGCACACACACACGCACACACACACACACACACAAAGGGATCAGATGACCTCCATAATGTTTAAAGAAATATTTGAAAATAGACTGTGGAAAAAGGTTATGAAATTCAGACTCAAAACAAAATTCATATTTTATTTCAAGAGATATCTTAGTAAGTATATTTTCTTCCCATTCCTGAAAGAAAGAGAGAAAAGTCATGATGACAGATGTGTTTGTTACTTTACACTGTGGAGCCCAGTAAAATCTTTATACCAAATCTTTTGAAGAGTAGCACATTATTATTGTACTGCCATGATGTTGCCATAGGCTTCTAAGCTGCCTGGAGGCATTCACTTTCTAAACCATTGGGAACTATTTATCTCATGGAATGCGACGTGCCCATTTTGGGTAGAAAAGTACTCAAATGAAGTCACCTTTCATCTTCTGTGGGCTTGCAAGTTGTTAAAACAAAAGGCTTCGAAGGCCATATGAAAGAGCAGATATTTGTCTTTGGACACTATATTCCACTTTGGCAACTGTTCGCAGAATGAAAGGTGAAATGCTCAGAAGGAAAAAAAAAATAAAATAGCTTGCAATGTTGTTGCTGTTTCTTTCTGAAATCCATCCTTGTACCATTTTTTGAGTACAAAAATAAACTCTCACTCAATTAAACTGAAGAGTAGCAAACAGAAAAATTGATGATGGAAACACTTTTTAATAAAGCCTGATTAGTACATGGAACGCATTACAGTACAGCAGCCCTTGAGCAAAGTGCTTATCAATATTTGAAAGAGAATTAAATGTTATATGGATAATGCAAAAATTTAGAGCTGAACTAGTAAAATAGCAAAGAGTTTTGGAATGGAGATAATATCTAAACTTTTTTTTTTTAAATCAACAGAACTTACTACTTCTTGTACTATTGTTGTAAAATAGCTGATGGTAACTACTGTCAAGGACAGGGAGCTATACTGTATGGGCTCTCCTATGTCACTGACATATAAATGTGAGGTTCTTATCCCGCAGTTCTAGAGAACCAATAGTGGAGACAAAGACTAGTTGTTTGTATGTTAAAGCCTCTTAAAAAATAAAGAGTGAGAGCAAAAATAAGTTACACTAGGCCAAAATAAGTTGTAAAACAGAGCTTTAAATTTATCTTCCTCAGAGAGCGCGGAGTCACAAATATCTGTCACCAAAATCTGCATGCTGTTGACCCATGTGCAGGCATAATAAGTAAGTACAGAGTAACCCAATCAATAATGACTGAAATTAAAAAAATGTACCTTAAAAGTTTACCTTTATTCCACTATATTCCTATGTAAAGTGACAGATGTTGGTTTGATGGCTTCCCGTAACTGATATCCTATATTGTATCAAATGTTCCCTAAATAGATAAACAAATATGTATGAATATATGCATATCTATACAAATATACAGGCCCACAGATATATGTATCTATAATTATTTTACACAACTGAATCAAGTGAAAACTGAGAACTTTGGCAAACAGCCAAATAAAAGATTATAATTTGCTTTAAAAGATACACTGCAGGATCATTTCCACTGGTTATGGTTAATATACACATATATTTAGTTTTCCTTTCTTTCTGTCAGTTGTAGGAATGTTCCATTCAATGCTACTTAAATATTTTTGAGAGAGAACAAAAGAAGATAAAATTGGGACAATTTATCCTCACCTCATGTTTCAATGTCTTTATGTATTGACAGAGTTTTATCTTTTCAGGGCTACATGAAATATTGTGTGTCGTTTTGATTAATTTTTTCCCTTTGTTCTTTAGCACTTGCTTAACCAATCAAAAGGCTTTCTATCTTTTTTTCCTATCCTTTCCTGAATATAACAGTTAATACTGATTTACACTTTCTCCTTTGTATAAACAGAAGGACTAAAATTTACTATTCATTATAAAATGCTCTTTATAAATTTTTATGAGCTTATTTGTTATGGTGCTATGGGACTATCTTATGATCCTGGGGGTGGAGGGAGAGACTATGATAGAATTCACCTATCTACCTATCCATCTAATTTCCAGGTCATCTGCAGTAAAGTGACTAACCACCAAAATCAAGGAATAAATACAATTTTTGTTTCCTTGTGAAACTTATGTTATTTTAAGAGGTTAGCTTTAATTTCTTTCAAAGTTTTTTTTTTTCATAAAAATGTTTTATTAGGGTTTTTTTTTTTCTGATTCCAATTTTACTTTTCATATGGCGTTTGGAAAGATTCAGTCGAGACACTGTTGCTCAAATCACAGAATCACAGGCTCATAAAGTAGGTTAAGTTAGAAGGGACCCTTGGAGGTCATCTCTTCCAACTCCCCACTCAAAGCCATCTTCTACATATCAGGACTTAGTTTTTATAAACTCTGTTCTTGACACAATCATCAGGAGAATAACTGAAAGTCTATTTATGAAAGAATTTTTGTTGGCTTAACTTGGCTTTCAATTAGCCCACAGTCATTGATAAGAAATGCCTTTTGAATTCCTTTGAAAACTGTTTGTACTGGTTTTGATCTTTTGAGCAGTATAAAATACTTTTAAGCTATACATGAAATGCAAAGGGGCTATGGGACAAGTATGTAACACATTTTTAACACATTTATCACTTCCACAAGACCCAGATCCACCTGCTCTGGAAATGCTGTGCAAGAACCCTAATAAGGCCTGATGAAATAGTCTTTTATTTCCAACAATCTTCTCTCTTCAATCTGACAAAAATGACCTCTATCTTAGCAGTTGTTTAGGAAGCTGGTAATTGCCTTTCCTGTCTCAGAAAGCTACTGTAATAATTCTCTAAACTTCCTGGCTGAGCTAGGCGTGTGAATCCTCTTATTGCTGATAGAGAGGAAGAGACACTTCTCAAGTGTAGTCTACCTCATCTTAAAACTGATGGAGAGAAGCAGCATCTCTTTCTCTATATTAATTTTAAAGAGAACTGAGGGGAACTAGACCATAAAACGTACGTATATATTATGAACACCTAAATGTAGGTGAGATAGCGCCTATCCAAAGAATAAATTCTCCATTTTCCTTCTCTTGTGTTTCATTGAAGACTGTCAGCTGGATGGAAGACACAGGTGCTTCACATTACTTCCAAATTCTTCAGCTTTTTCACATTGTGACACTAGTGTCTACACTTCTTTGCCTGATAGTCTTTGCGTTCGGAACAGCTTCAGTTCACCATACTTCAGCCACACGCTTTCACTCTTTTCTAAAATCTGGTTGAAGAATCATATAAAGTTACTCCAAATTCTCTGTCTTCCAAGGAATTCCCAAAACAGGAGAAAATTTCACATGTGCTGTTTCTTCCTGTTGTATCTAAAACATACAATAAAGTCCAACATGATGTTATATCTCTAAAATTTTAAAATTTTTTATCTATCCTATAAATATGAATAAATTATTCTTCTTTCTTCATGAACGTGAAAACCTTAGGTACTTTTTTTATATTTAGGGCTCTAATCTTTGTTTAACTACTTTATTTATTCTTTTGTAAAGAATATCTATCTGATGCTGTCTTTTTGTTTTGAGATTATATAACTCTCTTTAAAAGAAAAAGAAATTCTTTTATATCTCTAGTTCTCCACAAGTTTATATTCCCAAATGACTTTGAAAAAGAACAAGATTTGACCTAATATAAGACCCTTCTCAAACAGGTTCTCAAGATTATGTCGCCTGGCCTGCTGACTTTTAAAAGTAGTTTAATCTGTGGCACAAAAACATGTTCTTTTGGGCATTTCAGTTTGTAAAATGAACCAGGACATTGAATAACCAATTCAAACGAAAGATATAAACCACCACTATATTGATTACCTTGTATACAATAATGTAATAGAAATCCTCCTATAAATAATAAGAAAAATCAAACACAGAACAATTCTTACTCCATTCTTCATTTTCAGTAATAGTTTACTTAAGAAGTGCTTCTATTTGTTTGAATAAATTATGTGTGGTAAGGTGAAATACCTGACTGTGTATATCAGCATTTGAACCTGTTTTAAGCATGTACTCAGATTTATTTTAACATATTTATAGCAGGTTTTTTTATTATTATTTGCCAATATTATTTACATTGGTACTTCTTATCTTAGTGTGATATTGCATGGTTTATTTATTTCAGGGATACCATGAAGGTTTCGGTCTATCATTTCATTGAATCCTGGAATCCTTCTAGAAAGCCATTCTGATTTACTTTCCTAAACATTTGGCATGGCGGTAGCAATATTATTCTTCTTATCTTGTCTACACTAAGGACTTTCAAACACCAAAGTCACCAGTTATAATGAGAATGGGACTCATGCTAGTGCCAATCCTGAAGCCGTTCTGCCTTTAAAATGGTATTTTATTGCAGTTATGTCCGCAGGGACTGTTGAGGAAAACAAAACAAAACAATAACAAGAAAAAACAAACCTAACACTCTTAAAATACATTGTCTCTGTGGAAATGATCATAGGAATATTTATGCTCCTTTGTACTGATATATGATTTCATTTAAAGAATTGGCTTAAAGGACACTAGCAGAGACCTTTAAACAGAAACTGCCATATCCATCATCAAGTCAGTCAAAACAAATTAGCTCAATAATATATTTATTTCAGGAAAAGTATGTGAATTTTCCAAGGGAAAACATTATATACAAGAGAAGACACTTAAAGAAGGTTGCCAACATTTCTTGAATACTGACAGGCTGATATCTGACATGGCCAGGAAATTGTAAATCAAGTTATGTGGCACAGTAATCCACTCATATTCATTGCTTATTTAGAGATTCTGTGAGATGAAAAATTCTGACACATTGTTTTTTCAGCTATACTGATAGCATAAGTCATAGCCTTTATTTTATTTTATTTCAATTTATTTTTTATTCAATGGGAAGGGTAGAGCCTAAAGGATATATAGTGTGTGAGCAAAATTTCTTCACCATTGGCTTGGAGAAGAAAATAGATAGTGATATAATATGGTTTAAATAATGGTGGCTATTAATGGGAAGAAATGTGTCACAAGTGAAATCTAGATCTTTTTGAAAAGAAAGCCCCATAGATATAGCGACAGTGGTCCAAAACTCAGCATCTCTATGAACCAAAATAACTGTCATGACATGATTTTGTAATATAAGTTCATGTAGTGACAAAGATAATGTATGTGCTCATATAATCTTATTTTGAAGAATACTCTAAGCAGGATAAATTAAGAAAAATGCACATGAAACAACTATTAAAAACATTGATATTGCAAAAAGAGATAATTTAGGAGGAGGAGAAAAATCAAAATCCTTGTGATAGAAATTGAAATATTTTAGAATTTGAATCAATCCATGTAAATCAGTAAGGTCAAGATTCTTGATTGAGGCCACACTCAGTAATTCATAGGGTCACAGAAAAAGGAACTTTCACTAAGTAAGAGAGTAAGGTCTCGTTGCCACTGTGGCATGCATCAACTCATTATGTCCTGCAGTACTATGGCCAGAGAGTCAGGACACTCCTTCAGGAGCTTCCTCTGGGGCTTTTCTTTGCCCGAGACTGTTGCCCGATATATTGAGATGGTGCCATTGTAAGAGATAAGACTGATAAAGGTTAAAGCCAGGAACGAATGGTTTCCCACCCCCAGTCACGAAGCTGGACAGCTGTTTAGCTAGGAAACTATTTAGCTGAGGAAAGCAAGTCAGATCTGCCTCTGAGGTTTAGTGCTATGTTGTAACTAGTGAGCTCAGATTCTTGTCTCTGCACATGTTACCTTTGTGTCTATTTCATTTAAATTGTAGGAAAAATGCATGAAGAACATTTTATGCAGTGTCCAGAACTCAGTACCGTGCCTTTTAAAAAACTAAGGCAAAATGTAAACAGTCTGACTTTAGCCTAAATGTTCAAAGAACTTTTTTACCCTACTATGAAAACTAGTTTAACAGTGCAGGTACAGCCAAGTACAGAATAAAGCAATGTAGACCAGACAAAATTCTGCTGGCATTGTTCACTTTGTATATAAAACATTACAGTGTAAATATATTTTTAGCTGTAGTTCTAACATGTAAAGAGTGTTCTTTGATAAACAGAAGAGGTTCTGATTATGAATGAAATATATCTGAGTCTAAGAAAGAAAAATTATTGAAAGAATTCTGTCTCTTCCTAAGAAAGATAGATTTTTGGAAAAGAGTATATCTTTTCTGGAATCATTTAAAAATAATTGGAAGAATTCTTTATGGTTCTATACTTTAGGT